GGGTGCCCCGCGGACGGGCCCGGGGAGCGGAGTCCCTGGGCCTGACTGCATTCGCCCTCGGGGCTGCCGGCTCCGCCGCTTGCGGAAGGCTCGACATGACGTGCGAGGTGTGAGGAGCAGCCGTGGTTCCTCTCCTCGGTGTCCCAGGTGAGGATTTTGGAGCACATCTGGGTATCCATGTGGGTTCCCAAAACCTAAGGAAAGTTGCTCAGCAGCCCTGACTCTGGAGAGGAAAGGGAGGCTGATACTGCGACCTTCCTTTTATTAAGTTCTTATACCAAAACTGCAGAGAGGAGAATAGAGCTGGTATCAGGGTGCCTTTTCACTTAGGCCCCACAAATTCTAGGTAAATTCTTAAAATCGTTTTAGAACAGCTTAATTGATGTAAAATTAAAAATGTTTATGGTACTACTTTTCATAAAATTGTTTGTTATAGGTGTTGGAGAAGATAGAGTTATGGGTTGTGACCTGGGAGAGAGAGAGGAAAGTTTGGTGAGGGAATGCAGCTGGTCTAATGGGATGGTGGGGAGAAGAATTTGGATGAGATGTGGTGTCATGCTTTTCCAGGAGATTAGGAGAAGAATGGCAAAGGATGGACAGGCTGGAGAGAGGTGTATGAAGGATCTGCTGCTCAGGACACAGAACTGGAAGACAGAGACTTTAGTTAGCTTCAGCTGCACAACTCACTTGGTTTTAGGTTTTGAAAAATTGCTTAATCTCACTTCTACTTTTTCAATTAAGAAATGTAAATAATATCTAACTGTATGGGGGCGTTTCTAAAATTGAGAATTGTCTGCTCTGAAAATACAAAGTACTAATTACTGGATGAAGCTGTAGCTGCCTATTAATCTCTTCAGAAGTTGTGATAGTCAAGAAAAATAATATGGGGACTTACCATTAGCATGTGCTTTTCACATTAGCTCTCTTGTGAGGAAAAGACCAGTGACATAGAGATTAGCAGCATTTTTTCTGTGTGAAACTGTCAAACCTATAAGATTATCATGACCAACATATTAGTGCTTGGCTGTTTATGTAATGTTTTTGATGACTATGATTAGTTTCTCTTGGTGAAAGACCTGTCTTCGTACAAACATTGTATTGTTTTCCTACTGATGTTATTCATTCAAGAAATGATGTTAAAAGAACATCATCAGTTGAAATGTTAATTTATTTTAATTTCATGTTGCAGAAAAATGAGAGAAGACAAGCTAACAATTCATACTTTTGTGCCTTTAAAAATGTTAATACAAGCAATACCTGGACACCAGTTAGCATTAGTAGTTTCAGAGACATAATTGGTCTTTTGAAGCAAACTATTTTTTTGCACTGAGATGTATAATGAGGAATAACTACTTAACAGGCAACAAGAATATAAATTTGCTCGAGACCAAGCAGTAGTACCAAGAAGGTACTACAACTGTGGAACCTGATACTGTCAAGCTAATCTCATCTGAAACTAATAATGTTGCTTGGACTCTGGTTGGAATCACTTTTTTTTTTTTCCCTCTTCCTTTTATTTTCTTTTTATTGAGAAGGGCCTGGTAAGAAGTTATGAAAAAATGTAAATTTTTTTTTTAACACTTAAATGGATATTACATTACGCTAGTTTAATATTTAGTTCCAGATTAGAACATAATGTGTACCATGCTTGATGCAACAATCTTTTATCTTGCTTTTCTGGTTCACTTTTATGCGAGATTAAGATTTCTGCTAAAGGCCCTGTGAAAATGTGGGTTTTTTTTTTTTTGGCACATGTCCATACAAACAAAAATTTGTAGACTTGCAGGTTGCCTAGTTATGAGAAAGCTATTTATTTCCCAGAAATCTTTGTCAGTAGTGTTTAAAAATAGATGTATTTATATATACTCCTGTAAAGACTGACTGATCTAAAACTATATAGAGGAAACGGGTTTGATTAGTAATATTTTGACTTATCTGGTCTATATCTAGGAATTCCATGTATTTGTTATACTTATAACAAATCAGTGCAACTGTGTTGCTGTTTAATCTGTGATGTAATTGATGTTAAATATTATGGTGTTAGTAATGCAGAATTTTTCAACAGGTACTTTATATGCATGGTATAGAAAAAATGAATTCCACCATGAGTGAGGAGCCTGATGCACTGTCCGTAGTTAACCAACTGCGAGATCTAGCAGCTGACCCATTGAATAGACGGGCCATTGTTCAGGATCAAGGTTGTCTACCAGGTCTTATTCTGTTTTTGGACCATCCTAACCCTCCAGTTGTTCATTCGGCTTTACTAGTAAGTATTCTGGAAATAAATGTTGTATGTAAGTCAGATGCTTTGTAACTTTGTTACTATTATCTCTAAGCAGATAAAAGTTAAAACATGATCTTATGTTAAATTGGTGTTCACTTGGCAGTTTTTTAAAACATATGTCTCAAAAACTAATTAGCAAGAAAACGTTATTCCAGGGGAGTTCTTGGTTGCTGAAAGAGATTAATTTACTTTGCCATTTTTTCCCCCAATACAGCCATTTCACTTTTTATATGGAGGGAGGTAAGCACCCTTAATTTTTTTAATCAGTCACAGCTGTGAAGCTTGGTAAATATACAGAGTGATCTGACATTGATATTCTGAAAAAAAAAATCATAAAATCGTAGCATACTGCTGGTTGGAACGGACCTCCGGAGGTCTAGTCTGATCACCTGCTAAGGGTAGGTCTACTCAGGTGCTGGTCAGCACTGTGTGCAATGGAGTCTTGAACCCCTTGAAGGGTGGAGATTCCGTAATCTCACTGGGCAACCTGTTCCAGTGTTTGACCATCCTCATGGTATTAAAAAAAATTTCTTTTAGCGTGTAATCCAGCTTGTTCTTACTTGTGTTTGTTGTCTCTTGTTCTAAGTCCTAAAAATAAATACCAAAGCCGTAATTCCTCATCCTGAATCCAAGTACTAACTGGAGAAAGTGTATCAATTGTTTAGAAACAGGGCAAGTAAAAATCAAGATTTTCTTGAAAATCTAATTCCGTTCTCCTAATAAGATTTCAAGTTATTACATTTATTTATTTGGTAGTATTTTCTCCATTTCTGTGTCAGTATTAATTTCTCAACATTGTGAAACTAAAGAATAAACAAGGAGCTCTGGCTTTGACAAACAATTTTACATTGTTCTTTATGCGCATAAGACTCATCTGTACGATAATTCTGTATTTTTGTTCTTTTGTTTTACTTTCCCACTAAGGATATTGGTGGATAACTTTGCTCCAGTTTCTCTGATACTTTTTGGTACAGGGAATGAGATCCCATAATCCAGGATACCTGTTCCTTCTAACTGGTCTTCAAGTTAGCCATACCAGAGTACTTTTCCGAACTGCAATGTTTTGAATGTTGTCTTCGTTGCGCTGGAAGCGTTTTGAGCAGAGGTCTTTGTAGCACGTCACGTTCTTTTATTTCCTTAGATTGCAGTATTAAAAGAGGAGCTTGTCTGGTTATCGTACTCTCTTTTCCTTCCTTTGCCTTTCTGGGCTGCTCTCTGCCTCCGTGAGACTTGATGATCGTTCTGTGATCGTGTTATAAAAATTAACCCCATATAAAAAGGACTGACTTTGTTGGATAAACGGTGGCTAATCCGGTTTGCGGTGAGATTTCACATTTCCAGATATTATGTAAGGAGGGTGGTAAGAACATTCGATTGGGAGGGAATAGGAGACAGATTTGTGTTGCTCCTTTTAGTGAGAACCTACGTTTAGGCCAGAAATGCATCAGTTTGCTATGAAAGCACATTTTTGTGTGGTGCCCAGGCTTATGTTCCTGAGTTTTTGCACCTCTCAGGTTCTGTGGTTTTTAATATCCTTGCTAACAGTTGTCTGCTTTTTAGTTTCCCTTTATGGTATTTTCCATTCTGAAAGGTCTGGTTTTTTTTTGGTTGGGTTTTTGTTTTTGGTAGCCATCTTTGTTGTGAACAATGGAATGGCTAGAAGAAAAACAGAAAGGTGCTCCCACCTCAATGGGGATTGTTAAAGCGTAATGAGCTTTCATGAAGAAGTTTGTACCCGATAAAGGGATGTAAAGCATTGACTTTAAATTACTTGTTGTAGCATTCTGTGATTGCCATGGCCAAATTCATAGATTATCTGTGTAAGTCATCATAAGTCCCTATTTAACTCTCTTGATCTGTTGCAGGATCCTTCAGGGAGGATGTCTTCCTTCCCAATCTAGTTGTTGGTCCTTTCTTCTATCTGATCAAGAAGTGGTGTTTTTACTTCTCTGATTTCAGGAATCTTTTATGATACACTTAAAAGGCTTTGAATATTTTAAGTGGAAAAATCAGAGGTAAACCAGATAAGTTTTTCTTAAACTCAAACAAAAATTTTTCAAAGAAAGAACCCTAAAATCAGGAAACTGCATTAACACTTCAATTATAAGACATCAAAGATGTCATTTGTCATTAAGGTTAAGAGGAGTATGTTTATATTTGAGCATGGAGATGCTCTTGTCAGTTATGATGTCAAGTATGATTATACTTGGGAACTTAAAGCTGATGTAGATATGTATTTTGCTAAACAGAGGCTGAGCCAAAATCCATGACAGTGATCTTTGTCTTCACTATACTTTAATTCATAAGTGTAAATGATCTGACTTCTTCAGAAGTGCAGACTAATTTCCTAAAGCTCACATGGGAAAGGGAAAAATAGGGCGTTCTGATGCCCAGCAGTCCTGAAAAGTCAGGTCACTGAAGTTGTTTTGAAAGCTTGTCTTTGGTCCTATTTTAGTGGAAACTATATAAGGGATTTATAAGCGACAGGTGCAAAAGAAACTCCACTTTCTCACTCAGTCTGCTGTTCTCTTTTTGTCGAAAAAACGACGTTGTTATTGAATTGCTATTGAATTGCTATTGAGTTGTTGTAGAAATAAGACAAATGTATTTGCTTGTTGAGACAATTTTCTCAATGTGGAAGTTACTAGTTCAGCACTCATCATGGAGAGATCTGCCTGTAGTTGGAAATTTAGTTAAGAAAAAAATATATATATAAGACATTATAAACTGGAATGACTGATACTGATCCTCATCAGGGAATAGCAACAATCATGACTGGAGTTTGTGTCATTGTGTCAGACAGCAGCCAAACTTTCTCAAAGGGCAGTAAAATAGTTTTGAATTTTATGTAAAATGTGCTGGAGAAGATTTAGAAAGAAAAACAGGTAACTAGTTCTCTATCTTTGAAGGGATTAAGGGGTACAGTATTCTTAAGGGAGGCAGTGAGCAACATGCCTATCATGGCATTAATTAGGGAATGAGTGCACTTCTAAACCTTATTACCACGAAACCAATTATCTAACCCGTTGTACTGGTGCATTGCAGTATTTTGTGAACAGTTCTTGTACCTTCGTGAATAAAACACTGATTAAAGCATAATGCAAGACACTCATTTGGACATTCCTTCAAATAAAAGTTTTTCTGTCAGCACTGAGAGTAGAGAGATATGTCTCATGGAAAGAAATTTTATCTGGAAGAATGTTATGCCAGGAGGCTCATGCAAATACACAGTTGCTGACTGGGGCCCCAGCATTGTGAGGTTCTGCAGAACAGTCTGTCTTGAAAGACAGATAAACAAAACATTGATCAACAAATAAGTGTAAACTACCAGTTAAAGTAGCAGTAACCTCACTGCTTTGTATAGTTTGAGAGAGATTAAACTGCTCGATGTAAAGTGCTTCTGAAGGTATGGTTCCTTCACCGTCTTAGTAACCTTTCTGAGTCACAGCTTTTTCTTGTAGCATAGTGTTTCCTAGGTAATTAAGAATAAATTTTAAATGGAATTTGCTTTTTGTCTCTGAAGTTTAGGAATTGCAAGGGATGAGGTAGCTATTTCACTTTGCAGCTTTGGGAGGAAAAACTTAGGAAAAAGCCATGCGAGAAAACACATTTTAAATGTTTCAGCTTCAAAGACTCAAGGTTTCTTTTCATTAACTTTTCCACCATTTTCCCACCTTGATGTAGTTTTCCTAAAACAATCTAGGAGTTCCTAATCGCAGGAGGAGATACAGAACTGGTCCCTTTTGTTATCAGAAATGGATTTCCTTTTCGTGTGGTCTGTATTGCACGATAGAGTATACTCAGAGTAATCAGTGCAATGCTGCTTTAACTTTTCCTTAAAAGGCCACAGAATGTCATTATTGCAATTACAGAAGATAGGAAAGACACTTTGGATTTAAATGTGTAAGCCAAACGCTCTTCTCTTAACGGTGTCCATGCTTTTTCTAATAGCGAGAAAATCTCTAATGGCAGGAACTGAGTTTTCTGAACAAAGTCTTAGCCTATAGCTTGCTGCTGCTTATATTCCTTTTTCTCGCGCTTGGATTGAATGATGAGTAATTAAAGTATTATAGGTGTTTTAAACGTTATAAACTTTTTGTCACTCTTAATCTTTCTGATATTTCAATTAGTCTATAATAGTTGTGGTAAGCCTCTGTTTCTGTGTACAGTAGAAATTTCTAGGTGTGCGTTTCTAGTTCTGGGAGAGTCCATAGACTTGATGGAACTTGTACCAGAAGCACAGTATAAAGAATTACTTTAGATCAGAGAAATGCTGGTTGGAAGGGACTTTTGGAGGTCGTTTAGTCCAACTGGCTGCTGCAAGTGGGTGGGACTGTTGCCAATGCTAGATCGGGTCAACTTTGTCTTGTTGAGCCTTGAAAACTCTCGAGGATGGGTTCTACAATCCTGCTAGGTTATCTATTCTAGTGCTGCACTATCCTCATAGTGGAAAAACTTTTTCCTAATGTCTGACCTGAACTTCCCAAGCTGCAATTTTTGGCTCTTCTTCCTTGTTACGTTGTCTGCTGCTGTTTAGGAAAGTTTGTTATCTTTGTAAAGGCTGTTCAAGTAGCTGTAGGCAGCTGTTAGATTGTCCCTTAGCCTCTCTTAGCCAGCCTAAACAAAACCACTCTCAACTTTTTCTCATAGGTTAGATATCCTAAACTTTCTGTGTATTTATGAAAATGAAACAATCCTTTAATATTTACAGTAGGTAGTAATACTTTTTATCTTTTTACTAGAACTGACACCATTAATGTTTTGCAGATATAAACTAATAAAAGGAGTGATAGCATACTGGAAATACTGTTAATTTGCTGTGCTCCTCTCTTTTTTTAGGCTCTCCGCTATTTGGCAGAGTGTCGTGCCAACAGAGAAAAGATGAAAAGTGAATTGGGTATGATGCTCAGCTTACAGAATGTAATACAAAAGTAAGTTTGTGGTGGGCTGCTGGATCAGATGACAGTGTAAATGTCATGTGCTGATGCAAAGTAAGATTTCATCTATGTATTCATATAGTGAATTTCTATTATTGCATTCCTTTCTTTTGTGTCGAAGTTATGTGACTGCAAGCAATTAATAGTTTGCATTTTATACAATACAGTGAAGTAATTAGACCCAAGCATACAGTCAGTGTTCATTTGAAAGGCATCTGTCTAGCAACAGAGGTTTCTTGACTTTGTTACAAATGATGAACTTTGTCTGTTTGCTTTAGGTTTTCTAATAAACCTGCATTATTGTATCGAGATGCCTTTCACTAGTGCATTAAATGGAATTGGTCAGTCTCATATTTGGTCTATTCTTGGAATCCCTTCTTTGGGGGAGAGAATTGTGTGTCCATTGTAGTGTTTGTTTTGATATATCCAGGTTGAATATTTCATATTTGCTGTTCTGTGTTGAAGAAGCATTTCCTCTGTAGGGCTCTAATTTCTATGTGTGTAGAGCATGTCAGCTGGGTTATGTCTCTTAAAATTTGATACTGTTGGTTTTTGTTCAATATCACTAAACAATGTCTTTTGAATACTAGGAGATGTGGATATCTGCACACTAGAGAAGATATATATGTATACTTATCAGTAAAAGTTAATATGATGAAAAAAGATAAATTAATAGCAAAATATCTTTCAACATCAGTGTGTCACGTATATCATAAATTAGCTTGCTATTAAGTTGTCAGAACGATGAAAATTATTTTCCACACTTCGATAACGCTCTAACTGGACTTTCTCGATATAAAGGAGTGTTCCGTAAGGGAAGAGAAGAGTCATTGCTGCACTGAAGTGTGTTTCAGAAAAATGTTTAAAACAATTATTTAAAAAAAAAAGGATGAAATGAGCGAAATTGTATATTAAAGATTCAAGTTCAAGATTCAAGACCTTCAGTTCTTTTCCAATCAAATCTTTAGTAGTTCAGTTGAGTACCACTTCACTTGTGATACAATTGCCAAGCCTGTAGAAGAACTTATGTAAACCTAACATTCTCTTATATTGTTACTGTCAAGCACAGTAACAGCTGCCAGCTGCCTGGTGGTGATTTCTTTTAGAAAACAAATACCTGAGGACAGACTTGGTCAGTTCCTTCACCCCACTGCCCCCAATTTTTTGGTGATGTGTGAGTTTTGTTGTTGGGTTTTTGTTTTTTAACTTCGACACTGCTGATCTAAAGGTTTGAACGTGAACAATTGGAAGGCCAGTCTTCCTGATCTGTTCACAATCCTACATGCTGCATGATGCAAGAAAGGCATTAAAACTATATTTACCTTTACAAGCTTCATTAGGTCCACTGAACCTAGTAAGAGTGTGTACTGGCATGAAATTTAGCTATATGCTAAAATAACATCTCGTTATACATCAGTTATCCAAAACTCAAGGATGCCTTAGATCAGAAGGTGAACTAATTGACTGAAATTCAGAAATGAACGGTTCTGAAACTTTATGAATGCTGTAGTAACTGTATTTTTTTTTTTAATGAAAGGTTTTTTTTAATAGGTTGTGTGGAAGAAATTGAATTAATAAACCTTAGAGTATTTTTTTTTTTTGGAAAAAAAAAATGAAATGAAGTGCCCTAAAGTTTTCATGAAACTGTAGTTTCCCAAATTTTAAGCTCTGTTTGTGCCACTCCTTACATTTGGGTTAGGATCTGAAATTATTATTTAACCTAAAAATAATCTAGCCAAAAGCATTTAAAAGCGCAAATAAATAATCTAGAAGTAAAAGATGAGTTATGCACAAGCCTAGTTAAAAATATACGTATGTCTTTGCTTATTACTTTAATAGTAAAAATAATAAATGTTTAGGTAGTATCAGAAGCCTTTGTTTCAGAAGTTGCTTTTGGTATAGATTATGTGCACCGAGACTGTTAGAATGGACACTTTTTATGTTATGCAGAAAACTTTTTGGAACAGGAATGGTAGGTTCATTATCAGCCTCTGTAGTTTACAAATACTACTTGGGAAACAATTGTAATTAAAATTTTGTTTTAAAAAGTTCTTAGGTAAGCAACACATTTTCCATGCTTCAATTTCAAGGGCAAGAAGAGTATGGAGTTTAGAAACTTGCAGAAAAGGAGGGGCAGATCAATAGGAACTGGAAATCTTGCTGATTTTTTTTTTCCTCAAGCTTTTTGACAAAATTAAAAACATGCATTTGATTTATATTCTTGTAACACTTAAAGTGTGATAACGTGAGAACTTAAACAGCATCTTCAAATGCAAGACTTTGTCATGCGTCTGTCAGGATTTTAGCCTTTAATGTTGACAGAAAATGCTGAAACTGTTTTGTATTGCCTGCAGAAATGTGAAGAAAGATGGTAAAAAACTGCTGAGAAGATGCATTAAAAAGTATTTTTGTCACAAACCAGCAAGGTTTTTCTTAGAGAGAAAGACTGCAGAGGAAAAAGCAAGGCCGCTTATCTTCTGCAGGTTTGCGCTGCAAAACGAAGGCTCTAGCTCTTAATGTGATTTGAGTTTCCCAGAGAAACTAGTCCTTTGAACTGAAATTGAATAGTAAGTAATAAACGCCAAGGTAACTGCTTTGGTGTTAATGACTTCATTCCGTTTGTTCCATTGTACTTTCCAGTACCTGCATATCTAGCTTATCTGTCTATCTAGTCTAAAACCACCTACTGATTATTTCTACAATTGAATTCAATTTTTAGAGGAAAATTTTTATAGTGTGTTATAAAAATATGAACAGTTCATCCAATCGGATATGAACTGAGATGAATACTCTGCTTTCCCGTTTAACACGCGGTTCTTTCACGTAAGACTGAACCCAGCATGGGAGTGGTAGTTGTTGACTTTTTGCTCTTGACAGGTTAATTGAGTCCTGTGGTCTAGATCTTGCCTGTGTATCAAGGATTCTGTAACTTCTCATGACTTGCTTTCATTGGTTCCGCTCTTACTTTTCCTGTGCAATACTGAAATACACCAAACTGTATTGTGTCACTGATAAAGCGATCTCATGCCTTTTAAGCAGTGAAATGAAGCTCATGCACACCCAGAGGCTAGTCATGAACTGGATAGTTGTCATGTTTTAGACCTAAGTTGATGTTCAGCAGCACAGAACCAATAAACATTGTGCTTTTGAAGTCAGAGTTTGTTTAGAATTCCAGTTCTCTTCTGGTTTCAGTTGTGTTCATCCTGAACCTCAGGGATTTTCTCATAATCTTGAGTGGCTTATATTAAGCCTTGAAATTTTGCGTTAGAGACCTTGAGTTCATAGGAGGTTAATTTCTTGACAGCTTTTTGTAACCAGTCTACCACTAATAAGTCTAAATGATCCTGAAAACTTCTAATTTATTGATGTCATCCATTGGAAAATAGTTGGAGTTGTTTTGCTGCTTATTCTTGATTTTATTGTAATAATGCATGGGAGCCTCAGGCACAGGGCAAGAATGTGCAGTTGCAAGTAGTATACAATCAATGGAAGAACAGCACAGCCCTCGTTTAAAATGACATACTAAGTAAGTGGTTATCATGACAATAAAATACTGCTCCCTTCAGAAGACTGCAGAGGATGAGGGTTAAAATTAACTGTCACCTGATAATCTGATGATAAACAGTAAATTCTGTCATCTGTATGCTGTCACAGAAAATGGGTAGGAAATAGTATTTATGAGATATCCAAGTTTGTTAACTGTAATTCTTTTAGGTCCTTTCGTATCTCATTTCATGAATTATCAGATCCCTCGTATTCTCTGCTAAGCTTTTTGACATTTGTTTATAATAAGTGTTATAGTTCAATTTTGAAAATCATTTTGTTGTTTAAAATGATTGTTCTGCTGACCCTCTATTTGATACTGATTTTCACCTGAAGAGCCAGGATAAATTTTAGGTTCACTGTGACTGCGATTTTCAACATGTGTAACTACTAGTCTTTTGCTAACAGAAGAGTAACAAATTTGAGATTTAGAGGGTAGAGCTTGTTGGTGTTAAAACAAAAATATGAAATGTGTGCTCTGAGGAGTATGGAATGGGAATGTAAGGATACCTTTTTTGGGAGTGGGGGGAGGTTCAGACCAAACTTGATTTGGAATATATAAGACTTTCTGAGATATTTCCTATGAACAATTTCATTCAGTTCTGCATTTAGTAGGACATCTGAGAAGCTGATCAGGCTTCATGGAATACTGTGACACATTTTTTTTGCATATAAACATTTCTCTTACCTTCTTCTGAACTTCCTGAATCCTTCTGTGGCAGAGAAGATTTTTTTTTTTTACTAGTTCCTCTACTTCTGCTTATTATTTTTAAGTGAGGTTTGATGCATCTTTCTTTTCATTGTAATAAGCTAGGAGTAATAAGTATTTTGTAGTGAAATCAGTTCTTTAAAATCAGTAGTTGCAGGTTCCCATACTTTTCCTCTCAGTCTTACTTCCATTGGTACGTCCCAGCATGTGAGGTCAGGTAGGGTCTGGGTCCTAAATCTATGCGATGTTAACTTCAGCTGCTAACTAACCTCTGGTAACCAAATATGGTATTATAACTACTAAATAAAGCATCAAATGTGGAATTACTGTGCAATCTTAAGTGCAGATATTTCTACTTTTCTTTAAAAGGACTGATAGTGCTTTGTGATCATTGTTCCACATTATCCTGAAATGCATAAAAACATGGTAACTATTGCAAGAATGTGTCCATTGCCCCATTGCCAGCTGATGGAGTGTGTATGTTTGCTTACACGTATCTGTGTAAATAGATAAAAAGGAAAGGAGAAATTGAGGATCACTGGGGAATAGTATTTCAGTATATTCTAGTAGTCATTTAATGTTAAAAACTGATTTAGTTGCTGGCTTTATGAATTGTGTGGAGTATTTAATGTGTCCGTATGGACTTTATAAAATGTTATTAGCAGCTTCTAGAATTAAAATTAATTAGGATTTATAGCCTACAAGGAACTATACCAATCTGTGTTCAGAGTGAAAGTGACTC